AAAAGAAGAAGTATAAAAAAGAATAAAAAAAAAGGGAGAAAACTTGAAATAAAAGAAATGGGATATAATATTGAAATTCCAAAGGATGATAAAGGGAAATATGATATGAAGAAATTAAGAGAGCATTTTATGAAAGGGGGAGGGATAAAAGAGACATCGATTCATGAAATTAATGAAGAAGTTCAAAAGATTCTTAAAGAAGAAAAGAATGTAATTGAAGTGAATGACAATGGACTTTTATTTGGAGATTATCATGGACAATATTTTGATTTTTTAACACAACTAGAAGATAAATATTGGGAAAAAACGGAAGAAACGAAAATATATCTTGGAGATTATGTTGATAGAGGAAGAATGAGTACAGAAATAATAATAACATTATTTTGCATGAAAATTAATAATCCAAAAAAAGTTATACTTTTAAGAGGAAATCATGAAACAAGAATGATGACACAAACTATGGGATTTATGAATGAATGTAAAAAGAAATATAATATTAATATATATTATGAGTTTTGTGAGAGTTTTGATTATCTTCCTCTTGGAGTAATTATTAAAAGAAAAATAGGGAAATTCTTTTGTTGTCATGGAGGAATTTCACCAGACATTACGAAAATAGAAGAAATTAATGAAATTAATAGATTTTGTGAACCACCAAGTAAAGGGATAATGTGTGACATCTTATGGTCAGATCCTATTACAGAAGAATTTTTAAATGAACATCTAGACTTTAAAATGTATTACAAATCAATTGATTTTATTCCTAATGTAGAAAGAAATTGTTCATACAAATATGGGTATAAAGCAATTAATAAATTTCTTCAAGACAATCAATGTATTGCAATTATTAGAGGTCATCAATGGGTTGACAATGGAGTTGAAATGCATTACTTTGGAAATAATCAATTAACATTCCCACTTTGTTTTACAATCTTTGGTGCAACTCACTATTCTCTTAAAAATAAAGCAGCAGCTATGCTTATTACTGACACAAATATTGATATTAGTAAATACCCTGCTTCTTTAGTTGATAATGATTATAATCCTACTATTGAACATGCTTTAAATTATTCATTAGATATTATAATGGAAGGAATTAGTTCATTCATTAATCAATTTGTTTATTTAACATTTACCACTGATGATTTAGATGATGATTCAAATGATTCAAATGATTCAAGTGATGATGAACGCAGTTTAAGTGATGATTTTTGTATTTTTGATTGTCCTGAAAGTGTTGAATCATCTCTTTCATCTCTTCCACCAATTTTATCTTCTCAATTTAATCCTACTCAAGACTTAATGAATCAAAATGACAGTAAAATGCATCAACATAATTCGTCACAAATTAATATTAATATTAATGATAATACTCATGACAATAAATCATTGTTTAGATCATTTAATGCTAATGACATGAATAAATTAACTAATAACATTTTACATTCATCAGTTGGAACACAACAACCATCAATTTGTTTGTTTTTCATTATGTTTATTAATTTTCTCGTATTACAAACACTTATTCTTTAGACGAGCAACATTTTGTTCAAAAAATCAGAGAAGAATCTACTCCATTAACACTAGATGAACTTCGTACTAAATTCCTTGAGCTTCAAAGTAAATCAAAGACTACTCTTATTTAATTTTTAATATTTCTTTGACATTCATTTCTTATTTCCTTAAAATAAATAATTTATTATGTTCAATAAAGTTAAAAGATTTGAGCATTCAATTATTAAAAAGATAATGCAGATGAACTTAAAAGTCAATAAAAGAATGGAAAATAACCAAGAATATGATTATGATTACCTTATTAAAGTCAGTATTGTTGGAGACAGAGGAACTGGAAAGACATGTCTTTCTGAGAGAATTGTTCATGATCAGTTTATGTCAACATATCTCCCACCTACTGGACTTGACTATAAAACTAAATTTTATTTCATTGAAACAAAAAAGATAAGAACTAGCTTCTGGGAAATTTGCTATTCTCATAGGTATTGTCCTACTGGAATTGAATTAAGAGGATCAAGTATAATATTGTTTATCTTTGACATGACTAATCCAGATTCTTTTGAGTCATTAAAATACTACTATAATAGATGTTGTCAACAATTTCCTCTTCTTCCTCCTATCTTTTGCATTGGAACAAAATCGGATCTTCCTCCTGCTGTAAGTGAACGTCAAATTCTTAAACAACTGAAAAAAATGAATTATCCACCTTTATATTATTGTTCTTCTCAAACTGGCTCTGCTTGTAAGGATATTGAATCTGACATTATTAAAATCCTATCCAATAAAATTAAACTACAGTATCATCAGTCATTTCAAGATAATTTACCTCAACCTCAGTACAACTCCAATCTTCATTCCTATTCATCGAAAAAATGCTGTTTATCTTAGTTCATTCTCTTAATTTGATTCATATCTTTTCCACTATTATCTTTTTATTTTTGTCATCCTTTCTCTTCACTTATTTTTACTAACTCTTACACATTTTGCTTTCTTATTCATTACTTATTACTCTCTCTTCTATTTGACTTTCTTTTCACTCATTACTTTACTCATTTTTTATCCTCATTATTACTCTCTATCACCCTTCTCATCATTTCCTTTCACCACTTTCTTCATCTTCTTGAATATGTTATTTATTCTTTGCTTAAAATAAAAACAATAAAGATTAACAAACAAATAAAATATTAGAAGTAATAATACACAAGATAATACTCAAATTATGAATGAAATAGAAATAAACTAAACATTATTATTAACATTCATTAATTAATCAAAATGAAA